TCCATCAAGAGAAATCCTACAAGCCACCCCAGTTCTTCGTCATGTCATTGACGTCAGTATCCTGTCCCCAACCACCGGTTCTTCTTGTCTACCGCACTTCCTAGTGCTATTGACCTCAAGGTTCCTGGATTCTCTGGCCGTTTTCCCCCTCCCTTAATCAACACAACACCATATATGGTCCTAATCGCTCCCCACTGCTCCCATTGGTCCGTTCTCCCTAACTACTTCGTATATAAGCAGCAACTTTCACATCCTATCACCACAGCTACTGCTCTCCGCATTCCAAGCCATTCAACTGCTCTGAAGATGGAGGCGCTACGTTCCTCCGAAACGTCGGCCAAAACAAAGAATACACGGTGCCTAAACCCAGAAGATGACTTTCTTCTTTGTAGAAACTTGTTTATTTTGCAAGAGAAGGATAGATGAGGAGAATGGTTTGAGTAAATCTTGAATTTCTGCTGCTACTACAACTACTACTGCTGCTACTCTGTTTTCACCATAATGTATAGACCACAACTGTCTTTTATGATGGGAAATTTGTACTTTAATTTTCAGTAAAAATGCTAATTGAAATTTCCTAATGTTACAAAGTGTCATTCTGTCTCAAAAAGAATGCATTTCTCAGTAAGCCTAATTCATGATTCATGTGCTTGTGATGACTTTTCACAAAGTTCTGAAATAAAATGTAATCAAATGTGCAGAAGGAAACTGGAAACAAGCAGCAGGAAGAAAGCTGCACTGTTTCTTAAAAACTGATTGTTGGTTTGAGACTGCAGAAGCCAGTCTCATGGAGACAAACACTTCTCAATGATCATTTCAAGACCAGAAAACAGAACATTTCTGGAGATCAAAAGGGGTTAATAAATGTGTGCAGTATAAAACATTGGATGTAAGGTGTTGTGCCTGAAGCTTGCAAAAATCAGCTGTAGTGCTGAAATTCCTGGAGCACAGTTTAGAATAAGGTCTCATTTTAGGGTATTTTTATTTGTTGTGTTTTTCATGAGACATGCCTTCATAAGTTACTGTATCACCTGTTGGGATGAAATAATGCTATTTCTGTTTATGTTTGTACAATTTACACCATCATGCTGTAATAAAATGAACAGATGTAAAATTGGGCTCATGTTTCTGGTAGGAACAATTCTGTGTAATGTATATTTATAGTTTACCCTGTCTTTTTGAGGTACATATTTTTTGATACATATAAAATTGAAATGCAGTATTCAGATGACCTTGAGTTTGCCATAAATCTGCAGGGCACACCACTTGCTGGTCTTGCATGTGAACGCTGTTGAGGTGTTATGATATCTTAATTTCGTTTATTGTGTAAAAACTTGGATTTAACTACATCCTGTTACATAATATTACCATAAATGTTGCTAGATGCCCAGCTTGTGAATGCTGCAGTTCTAGCCTTATGGCCAGGTCATATTTTGACTGGTGGCCATGGATATAAGCATTTGCGTGTGGGCATTGCTATCCAGTTTGTTTTAAATTCATTTGCTTATAATAAAGTTACGTATGTTGAAATATATATGCTTGTGTAAACAATATTATGATATTATGTGTATATATCTTTAAATAAGTTGCGTTTGTTTTGGATGTATAAATTTCATGCGTTAAGAAGAAGTGATGTTGAATTTCGTTCTTTAATATTCCTTTGCATTTTTGCTGAAATGTTTTGTATTAGTTTCATCAATTCCTGCTACTTTTTATGTCCACATGGATTTGTGTGAACAAATTGAGTATTATATACAACAGATTTTTTTTTGGCAGGGGTCATGTATTAATTTCTTGAACTGGAATGTATTTTGCTGTGCCATGCTATTTTTGTGTTCAGACTTTAAGATAAAATGTGTGACCCAATTTGCATGTAAGTGCAGAATGTGGAAGATGAAATGAAATATTGGTTTATTAAAGAATACAGTTTTTTTATAAAAATTAATATCTGTTCTAATGTGTTAGCAGATTTTAATATTTAGTTTTGTGAAATAAGAATCATATCTTTAGCATGGTTGACAATTGACTTTATTGTAAGCAAAGTTCAGGATCATTTAACTTGGCCAATTCAACAAAAATGGAAATTGTTTCATTGTTGTGTTTATACTTTTCTCTTCATTTATTTTCTATTTTTATAACTGGAAAATTAATTTTCTTGGTAATTTGGCTTCAGGCACATTTTATTAAAAGTGTCACAAAAGCCTGTAATCAGAAAACAATTTAAAATATTTTAACTTGTTTTGCCACTGAAGACGCCGTTCGGATTGTTAATTGGTTTATTTAACAACCTACAAGTCGTAACTACAATTGATTATGACAGTGTTACGGGTTTACACACTACAACCCTACACAATAGTCTCTTCACTCTATCTTCAGTAGGCTTCAAATATTTATAACGCAGGAGCTATGCAAGTGTCACTGAATTACACACTCCCAGTACCTTCTCAGTTATCACAAACTATCACTGATTATCACATAAATTCTTCTGATCACACATTCAGTTCTTCTTCTTCCACGGCTGCTATGCTTCAACTGAACTTATAACGTCCTCTTCACGTTCACAATTCACTTGCTACAACTGAACTTGGCGACTGCTAGACTTACACTGCCTCCGATTGCTCCGAATACTGACTGGCTTCGGAAGTTGCTACATTTCCACTGACTTCCTTATGCATTCCAGTCTCCCTTATAAACCCTCAGGCGGACAGCGGAAAACCCCCCTCGCTTCGCTGTAGTGTAAATGCCGTGTTTACAGGCGTTGCTGGGCAACACTGTCGAGAGTTGTTTATTGCTGTGTAGCAGCCAGTGCGCTTCAGCTCGGCTATGCACGGCACGGAGAAACACCACTTCTCTTACTGTTTTGTAACCTCACTTCCACTGTTCCAGAGTCTGTCTTCGTGGTAACTCGTTCCACCTCCCGTTGCCCAGCAATGGCTAGACATGTCACAATATTCATCTGCATTCTGTAACTTACGAGTAATCAGATTTTGTTGCTTGTTTCTGTTGGTATTTAGTAACAAGAAAGCGTATGTAGTCCTTAAAGTAAAGTGGCATCTCTTAGTGACTGAAGTGTACAGGTATGTTAAATATGTATCATAATTGTGCCAGAGATAGTTTTAATTGTAAGATTTCACCAAAATCAATCATCACAAGTGCAGTATGGGTGTGGTCATGAATGCATAAGTGGACACAGCCTCAGCTGGTGATATTTCAGTGTTTCATCTCACAAGAAGAATGATTAAAGTAGAGCATTGGATTTGTAGTGGAGGTAACAGAATGGGTACAGCAAGCTGCAGTTGAAGATGAAATTGATATATACTGTTGCTAACTTCATGTTTTATCGTTTTACTCATTTGCTGTGTGCGTTAGTAGTACAAGTATTATGAAGCAGGGAGCACTGTTGAATATGTACCAGAATGACATTATATAATGCCTTGGCAGAATTTGCACCTGTAGCCAATTTACTATAAGCACATTAATGGATATAAACAGAAGCGCTTCAGTAGTGATACAACACTGCACTGTTTTGACTGAGTTCAAATAATAGGAACATTTAATTCAAATTCACTGTTGATGTAAAAATTTATGAAAGTGCTTGACTTTTTCCCATGATGAAGGAAAGGTAAGCAGATATCAGTCTTGTTACTGGAAATGTTGGCATGCTTTATTTATAACCTTAACCTGAAAAGTTTGGATCAAAATTTTGTTAATTAAATGTGTAATGATATCACATATGACTTCAAATTTTGTCATAAGTTTTTATATTGGAGATTTGAGTTTACATTATTATTTTGTGGGATATTAGAGATTGTTTGTGCGTTTTTCTGACTTTTGTTCATGATTATCCCATAAGGAGATCAGTAAATCCTGAAATATTGTAAATTAATATCTGTTATTTATAAATTAGGAAGTTAATGGCTTGCAAAGTTAATCTCTCCACTAAGGGACACTAATGCAGATTAAATTCTTGAAGTCATTTCAGAATTTCTTGAGAGTATTTCTTCCACAAAAAATATATATGTTCTTCCTGTTTCCTCTGTTTCTAAGAAGTGTGGTTCTTGATTTGCAAGTATTTAGCATGATTTACATTTGTAATCTTTATATGAGCATCTGTTCTTCAGGTTGGACATGAGCAGTGATCTTATGTCGTTACATATTGGGGATCGAATCTTGGAGGTGAATGGGACTCCTGTCAAAGATCAGCCCATAGAGAATATAGAGAACCTCATTCGTTACTCTGACACAGTCTTGCAGGTAGGTCCTTCGAGGATTATTTCGTTACGTCTTGTATGTGGATGAAATTTTTGTAGATCAACTGGATTTAAAATAGTTCTTTGACTCTTACTAGAGAAAAGTATAATAAAACATTCTAATTTTGTTGTATATAATCAGAAAACTAATTTGGTTATTAGATTAGTAACATCTGTGTAGGTATACATTTATCTGATTTCGTTGCTTTCAGCTTTAATTTAGAATATGCATTAAAAAGAAATTGAAGGGTTAACATCTGTTATAATTATGCTTGAACCTAAATATGACACTTGTGGTCGGACACAAAAAGTAAAGCCAAATTGCTTTGGGTCTCAAATGAATCTGATGTTTTAACATATATAGTTGATAAAATATTATCACATGTTAGGGGTGAATATTAAATGTGGTATGGATTGGATGATTGGATTTATTGGCATCTTATACACACCATTCAAAACTAAAGGCAATTACAGCGCTGCCACTGATCTCCACACACACACTGGGGTTCTCAAGTCTGCACTTGTCACATCCTGGTAGCAAACTTCAAGACAGCAGTTATACCAGTCTCACTGTAACTGCATCACACATTAAGCTTTCTTTTGCACAGCCTAATTCCTTTCTTGCCATTTCTTCTCAAACATCTTCAGCTGCCATCTCAAGAGATTCCCTCAATTTTCTTCTCAGCTGCCTGGAAACACTATTTCCATCCTTATAGCCCAACAATGCTTACATATTCATTGCTGTGGGAACCTGTTTACCAAGTCATTACCTACCAGTGAACGTCTACTCTGTCTGCTAGTCTCGCTTTCAGGTGTCATGTCACAGTATCATTAAGTAAACTAAGATACCATAAATGCAAAAATTGTTACGGGCTGCAGTGTGTATGGACCAAAATGAATTTAACCAGATTGAGTACAAATTTAATCAGAAGTCAGGTTTTATGTTAGTTATACATGAAGATGGTTTAAAACAATTTTTTGCTCCCCGAAGTAGTTAGACTTTATTTCAAGCAGTTACATCTTCTGCATTACAGCTGACAATTGAACATGACCCAGATGCCCTGAATCGGCGACGGCCAAGTTTTCCATATCCTGCATCAATGATCACCCCTCCATCTGCACCTAGTACAGGAGTGTGTGGATCACGGACTCATCCACCTGATCGTGAGAGGCTATTTAAGCGACGTGATGAGGGATACATCAGTGGCTCTCGCAGTAGGCAGCTTCGCCGTGGGAAAGGGAGCTGCAGCAAGGAACGTTCTTCTTCTATGTCTCGGCTTCTAGAAGGGTTAGTGGGGGCGACAGAATTATGTGTATGAATTGTATGGATTTTTTTTTTGCAACAGCTGGAATTAGAAATGCATAACATGCATCTATAATCAGAAGTGTGTTATGTAAAATAAGAGATATAAGAAGCAGAAAATTCCATTGTGAAAACACAGATAGAAGGCAGTCAACATAAGCAATTTTGTTTCAGCCTTCTGTTATCTTCACATTGGTGATATTCATTATACTGATGAAATGTTGCAAGTACCACTTCTCTTTGTCTCTCTTTGTTGATGATATGTCAAGTGCTACCCTCTCTTTCACAGCTTTGAATTTGTAATTTTTGTTTTTCCTCATTGATGTGAGGGGAAGGAACTTCTGTAGGATGAATTTATATCTTAAACAGAAAATAAGTGTAAAAGAATGGAGGTATTATATTCTCACATATGGCATAATGTATAATTCAGAATGACTAAAATGTTGGTTTCACTTTAAATATTCTTAGCATTTGTTGCAGCTTTGAAATATTTGTGCATGCATGTATGTCATTTCTTTTACTTTGGTGCATTTTTCTTGAGGTTCATCAGCATCCAAGACTATGCATGTCAGTCCATAATCCATTTTTTATTTAGCGTTTGAATTGTTGAACAAGTGGAAGAAGGTTGCATTCAAGCTGGAGGAATACTAATCTATGATCAAAATCAGACATTTATTGTCAAAAGTGTTGCACTTCCTAAACATTGGATACTAAAGCTTTAGGAGTGACTGGTTAATGGATTAATTGCTGATAAACGTGTTCTGACATTCTTCCTCCATCCTTGCAGACCCGTAACAGTAACACTGAGCTTAATGTTTTTTTTTAATACACATCTGTAAACAGGTCACCTCCAACCCGTGAAACCTGTGACCTTTCACGAACCAGGTCTTTTAGAGTTGAACCCAAGAGTCAGCGTATCTTTCGAGCATCAGACCTTGTGAAAGGAGAATTGCTTGGTAAAGGTTTCTTTGGTCAAGTGTACAAAGTGACACATCGAGACACAAGTGAGGTTATGGTGCTGAAGGAACTATACCGAGTAGATGAGGAGGCCCAAAAGAATTTCCTCAAAGAGGTGAGTAGCAGATTGAGTTTGTCAAGTTTCAAGTTCAGTTACTTCTGAAACCACTGCATTATACATTACAGGGCCTTGATCGTCAAGTGCTTTGTCCTGAACTCATAATTTTTGTGTCAGAATATATTGTAGCATCACATATTCTTGTAATTCTTGTTATATGTATGTGACAAAAAGAAAAGCTGCGTGTTTTTCCAAGATCGGTCATGGAATGAAATTAAACATCCTCATATGTTACATTGAATGGTTCTAAAATTCTCTGCATCACTACTGTCTGTTACAATAAAGATGTCAGTGAGCACAGTCCCCCACTCCTTTGCTACATGAACATATTGTCACGTGTCGGGCGTATATCGCGACAAATAACTTCACGCTGTATTCGATGTAGCGAATTTTATTTCACACTCGCTCTTACAATCACCCAAATTACAGATTTACGATTACTGCTATCTGCAGTATCACAGATAGTACACTCCAAATGCCAGAATACAACTGACTGGCTGACTCTACGTCTCGACTCGGCGGCTGTCACAGTGCAACTGACTCAGTACAACTCAGTACAACTACTCTGAATAGCCTTCGCTGCGCCCCATGTAGCCTCGATCAGACCATACGGAAAACGGCCGCTGTTACTATCGTAACGTCACCGCTGTTGACTCGCGTTGCCTAGCGACCGCGATATCCCTCGGTGACGTCACCGCGGAGGGGAGTGGCGGGGCGGGAACTCGCCTATTACCGTAGTAACGCGAGCGTTACGTTACCGCCACGTACCGCTGGGGAGGTAGGGGTCAACATGTCACAATATAATTACTTACATGCCTTCCCCCTCTTTGCAGCCCCAGTGTCATCTTTGTTCTGATAGACACTATTATTATTCATGGCAGAAAATTAAAAATATTGATGTGGGGTAACTTATAATTGCAGGATAATCTTAGTGACCAGGTAGTTTGAATGTTGGCCAAGTGTTAGAAAATTATTAGCAGAGACAAGATGGGAGACACAACTGGCCCTGCGGAGACTAAAAACTGTAACAGAAAACGGATAAAAGTCTGTTACATACTAAGGAAAATTGATTGAATGGATGTATGATGCCTGACAGTAAAGGGATTAGCCTAATTCTGTAAAAGAAGTATTTTTGTCACTAATCATTATTTGGTATATTGTCCATTAAGTTCTTTATTTTGCAGCATCTCTACCATGCCAGGAAGCATTGCTAGAAGTTGTTTTCTGAAAGTTATTTCATTATATTTCTCTTTTTACCTACAGTAAATTAAAAATGAAGCCACAGGGGATAATATCCAGAAAGAATGCTATGTATTCTGACACAAGAATTTTATTTTGTGTCCTGTGGAAAGGATCAGGACTATGTTTGGCCAAAGAATTGTTCTTTGTTCATTAAATTCTATGCAGTAATCATTTAAAAACATGACTATTTTGGAAGGAAAAAATAGTAATGGACGTTTCCTTTGGTGTCAGCGTTCCCTTCAGTTCTGACCCTGTGTTTTTGTTTGTTTGTGTGTGTATGTGTGTGATTTTTCAATAAAGCTTTGGATATCCCTAAGCTGTCAATGTGGTGATTTGTTTCTGGGATATATTGTGAGAGACAGTTCCCTTTTAATCACCATCATTAGACTGATTTTCTTCATATTCCAGTTCTCTTTGGAATCAGCCTAAGAGCTTCCGTATTCATATTCATTTCATCTGCTTGCTTCTGAAAAGTCCATTGGCTACCAATCTGTCATTCTTCTGATTTTCACACGAGTTCATGAAATTGTCTGACTGCTTTACATTGTTCCATCAATATAGAGATATCTTGATCTACATAAAATTCTGCACTCTATACCCTTTATCTTTTGTGTGTGTGTGTGTGTGTGTGTGTGCGTGCGCATAAGCATGTATGGGTACTCACACTCGCCCATGCTTGGTGAAGTAACAGGAGCCAGTGGTGAGTAAATATTTGTAAGAAACATCCTATAAGAGTACTGGGAACTGAATATTACTGAGTTTCAAGTGGATTTATGTTGTATTTTTTGGAGTCCTGTATGTTGGTTTTTTATTAAAAAGGTAAAAGGTATATTGCTGAGTTTATAACAGAAGAACGAAGCTCCATTTAGGCAGAATACAACTACTGCAAAAGCAATTGAAACTAAATTATATTATTCAGCACTCATGACGCATGCAGTGTCATGTTTTGGTAGACAGTGACACATGAGTTTGGTCATCTGTCAAATCATGCTTGCTTTGTTCTAAATTTATGATTATGACCCTAGGTGGCGGTGTTGCGCAGCCTGCACCACAACAATGTCTTGCGTTTCATTGGAGTCCTGTATAAAGACAAGAAGCTGCATTTGGTCACAGAATTTATTTCTGGCGGCACCTTGAAGGACCTCATTCATGACCTGAATGAAGCTCTGCCCTGGGAACAACGAGTCAACTTTGCCAAGGATATTGCATCGGGCATGTCATATCTCCATTCCATGAACATCATCCATCGTGATCTCAACTCTCACAATTGCCTTGTTAGAGAGGTACATCATTGTATTCTTCTTGGGAGTGTAGAAAATTTTTGTATGGTTTTGGATTAATGAATTCCATACTACTCCTGTAGACTGAAATTATTTGCTTCCCCCACACTATTGTGGTGGTGTGTATGATACAAATGAGTAGTGCTTTTACTAAGAAAATACATTTTAACCCTTTAAAAACAGAATGTACTTTAAATAATATATAAAAATTTGGTTCATGTCTCACAAGAAACACATTGTGAAGTGTATCGGAATGTTCCCGGACTAGGTCAACAGACAGATGCTGGCTTAATTACACAATTTTGGCTGCCATCTCCTTGGGAATGTATACAGCAATCCCATCGGTTTTTCCATGCTTCATGAACACCATGGAAGTCATTTTCCTTAATGCTGTTGAGTACTGTTTTGTAATTCCTTTTGGATGTCAGACGTTGTTTCAAAATGTCATCCCTTCAGTTTCATTTTCAATTTAGGAACCAAAGCAAAATCACAGGGGGCTAAGTCTGGCAAGTAGGTAGGATGAGGAACGATAATCATGTTGTTGTTAGTCACAAACTGGTTTTCAGGGATGTGTGGGTGGATGCGTTGTCATGATGAAGGAGCAGTGCGGTGCACAATCAAATTTTCTGTTAAGATCTCCTGGCAAACTCCATAACTGATCCCAGCAGTATCTGTGAGCTTGTGGATTGATGGCAACGATCTTAAAAATGTTTCAACATTTTCTGTCATTTTGCTTGTGCTTGGTCACCCTGAATGTTTGTCATCTTCACCTGGCACTTGACAGGCCTTGAAACATGAATGCCATTCAAAAACCACTGTCCGGCTTGAATGTTCTCCGAAAACTTCACGTAGCATTCCCGGGGTTTTGATAGCAGATTTCATGAGCTTCACGCAAAACTTGATGTAGACGCTATGTAAGATTTGAGGCTTTCACGGCGGTGACTATGAAGAAANTGTAGACACGTTTGTCAAATTTACCAACCATCGCAGACACAACGAAATGTGAAATCAAAAAAGCACTCGTGTAAAAACAGTGCATGTTCACAGCATGGTGTCACGTGGCAGGCTGATGCAATAGGCTTGTGGAAGTGTGACCTTGGTCTCCCTTCTTATCTTCTTTCAAATGACAGTATCAGCCTGGGAACTTTCTGATACCACCTCATACATCTCCACTACAAAGACCAACTGGTTAATGATGTTTAAGGAAATAATCTCTGTTTACTGTGAGAACCATACAAAACACAGATACACTATGTGAGCGCAATGCAGAGTTTTAGTATATTAAAGCAGGTGGTGCATATGGTAACCACTGGGCTTTAAAGGGTTAATTGTATCATTATGGGGGGTTGGAAAAGACTTGAGAAGGCTTTGTCACAAGATGACAGACTGTTATGGAAATACCAATTGGTGATAGTTATTATGATAATATATAGCAACAAAAAGATGAATCCTTATTCTCTGTAGGACAAGACTGTAGTCGTGGCAGACTTTGGGCTGGCACGAATTATCTCTCAGAACAACAACTCAAGTAGTGGGGGTGTTGGTGCCAGCATGGCAGACCGACGTCGTTATGGCAACAAGAGAGGCGGCAGTGGTGGCACCGGAAGTCGAAGGTGTGAACGTAAAAAACGATACACAGTGGTGGGCAATCCATATTGGATGGCACCAGAGATGATGAAAGGAAATAAGTATGATGAGAAAGTGGATATTTTTTCCTTTGGCATCGTTCTCTGTGAGGTAAGAAATTGTGGGAGTCAGTCTTGACTGCAGGTAGAGGAAGTCTGTTACTTGCAAAGCTGTTCTATGTTTTTATGCATTATTTTCACAAAATACATAATGGTTTGGTCTTGTCCATCCAGTAATTTCTATTAATTGTTGTATTTTGAGTCTACACTAAAAGCTGTTAGACAAATTTCTTTTTTGTAAGATTTGAGGCTTTCACGGCGGTGACTATGAAGAAAGCAGTCTTCTGGGATTTGCCACCATGTATCTGTGGTGTTAACCGACGTTTCGGAGGAACGTATCGCCTCCATCTTCAGGGTAGAAGAAAAAATATATAAGAAATCTGCAAGCAAAGAGACCATGAGAACCGGTTAAAGCAGACTGTCTGTTTTTACCGGTTCTCACGGTCTCTTTGCTTGCAGATTTTTTATATATTTTTTCTTCTACCCTGAAGATGGAGGCGATACGTTCCTCCGAAACGTCGGTTAACACCACATATACACGGTGGCAAATCCCAGAAGACTGCTTTCTTCAAATTTCTTTTTTGTTCATACTGCTCCAATAGACTTTTTACTTAACATGACAGTCAAATAAAACTTTATCTTCTTCCTCGAAGATTGCTATGTATACAGAAAATTGGATCACGATGAAATATGAATCTCAATATACTGTAACGTGTCTGGAACCCAGAAGAGTCACTTCTGTGGAAACGCCAGAATAGACCATTGCATAATAAACAACAATTGCTCTACTGTAGTTCTAACAGGAATCTCCACGGATACGACGAATACGCAAAGCGTTCCCACAGACAACGCGATAACAATGGGTTATTGCGTAGGAAACGCGGAGCCAACAAAGCGACGTTTCCACTGCTATAACAGAGGATTCATTTGTCTAGCAGCGGCCAAGGTTATAAATAGCCCAGCTTCGACGAGAAGTCTTCAGTCTCGGATCGCCTTCGGAGAAGTCAGTCTTGGAATAGCCGTCTAAGGGATCAGCCTTGGAACAACCGCCAGAGGAGATAGTCCAGCATCGCCGAGTTATTGTGAGCAGTGATTGTAACACTGCAAGTGTAAATGACTGTAAAGTGTGTGTAAACGAGCGAAAGGAATAAATTTGCTATATCAGGAGACCCATGTGAACTTATTTGTAGTGTGACACACGAAATACGCTACATTGGTGTCAGAAGTGACTTCGAACTTTAACACGCGTCCTACAAAAAAATGGAAACGCAGCAGATGTTGGAACTCCTGCTGAAGGAGATAAGCGCCGGCCAAGAAAAAACAGATGAGATGCTGAAAGAGATGAAGGCCGATAGGCAGGCGGAGAAGAAAGAACTGCTGGCCTTAATGGAGGCAAACCAGGCCAAGGCCGACGCCCGCCATAACGAGATGATGGCCAATTGGAAAGCCTGGGGGGAAGAGAGGAGAACTTCCCACAAGAAAATAGTGCCCGAAACAGATGAAGAGCCGACCTCCGTAGAAACGAAACCTGAGGCGGCAGAGCATCAAGAAGTCCCTGTAGAAGACGCCCCGAAAATACCGGTTGGAGAACCGAAGAAAAGGCGTAGGGACCAGAAACTGGCCGCGGAGTGCCGCCGCCAGACAGCGAAGGATGCAACACGGGTAATTCATAAACCCCAGAAGGAGTTGGCCGTCGGCCACAGAACGACATCCCGTCGCGCGACAGTGGCACGACGTTGGAGAAATGACTCCAAGAAGGAAGCTCCCAAGGGAACCTTCGGATGCCAGTGTAAAGAATTGGCCGTCGCCCGAGAGACAAGACGCCGAGAGAAAGCGGCACGGAGAACGCCAATAGACAAGAGGATGTCCCTCCGTGCAAAAGTAGCATGACGTAGGGGACACATCATGGGGACCAACCCAACTTGGAACAACGTTGCAAGGGGAGCCCCTAAATGGCGAAGACTTCAGGTGGGTCCAGAGGGCAATATTAGAGTAAAAAGCGCATGCACAAAGCAGCGGCCGCATCCAAAGAACGAGAGGACAGCCAGCCGGACATTCAGGAAAATCATCGGGTTAAAACTTGTGAAGTTACCAGCGGGACTTCCCAGCGAGTTACCGAAAACTAGACACTGGACACTGTGGAGGGGGTGACCCCCCCCAAAACGGAAAAAGGGTAACGGCCCTTATGGGAGGAACCGGTAGAGTACCGGCCTCCCCAACAAAGATGAATGAAAGTGAAGAATGAATGTGAGACAACGAGTTCAACAAATCCTCGGCTACGGGAGTGCTCGGGGGCGAGCACCACCGAAGAGAGGGGCGGATGCGGTTAGACGGACACCGCACAAGGATGCCAGCAGACACCAAGGCCGAATGCAGACGTTGCCAACAGAACACCGCGAATCGAAACCGAGGGAGAACCTTTAGGCTGTTCGGGGACGAACAACCTTTAGAAGCGAGCAATGTAACGTGTCTGGAACCCAGAAGAGTCACTTCTGTGGAAACGCCAGAATAGACCGTTGCATAATAAACAACAATTGCTCTACTGTAGTTCTAACAGGAATCTCCACGGATACGACGAATACACAAAGCGTTCCCACAGACAACGCGATAACAATGGGTTATTGCGTAGGAAACGCGGAGCCAACAAAGCGACGTTTCCACTGCTATAACAGAGGATTCATTTGTCTAGCAGCGGCCAAGGTTATAAATAGCCCAGCTTCGACGAGAAGTCTTCAGTCTCGGATCGCCTTCGGAGAAGTCAGTCTTGGAATAGCCGTCTAAGGGATCAGCCTTGGAACAACCGCCAGAGGAGATAGTCCAGCATCGCCGAGTTATTGTGAGCAGTGATTGTAACACTGCAAGTGTAAATGACTGTAAAGTGTGTGTAAACGAGCGAAAGGAATAAATTCGCTATATCAGGAGACCCACGTGAACTTATTTGTAGCGTGACACACAAAATACGCTACAATACATTATGGTGTAATTTAAGGACTGTTTTATACCAAATGTGTGATGCATTGCTCTAAAACATGGTGTGGTAAATTATTGAATTTGTTATAAGAAATGATAATAAATGTGAAATAATTTAATTTCCTTCAATTTTGATGTGCTAGGCTCATTGCTTCATCCACTTCTGAATATGCCACTGAAAGTCTGAACTTTCAGAGCTGCTTTGCTGAATTTCATGCACATACATTGTTTGCTAAGGCAGTCAGTGATGAATACAGTAGCCATAGTTGTTGCCTGTGAAGCTTAATTTATCACTTACCTAAGCTGGCAACATTAGTCTGTAATATGATGTCATCACTAAACACATATGCTTGTACTGCTGTCATGCCTACCAATATAACTCCCCCCTCAGTATAAATTCAGTCACCAGACTCTTTGGCCAGATATGATGTATTATGTTTTAACTGCATAGCTGACATCTTGTCTTACTATGTATGTGAATGGCAGACAGCTTATAACTGGAAAAATGTGTATAAATTTTACCTTACACTGTATGTCAGAAAGTACTTACATGGCATGATACATACATTATGATATCAGCATACATTTTTTCATTATTTGCATTTGAAGAATTAATGAATCGTATCAATTTGCATATGTTCTCCACTCTCATGCTGTTGATTGTTAACACCGTCATATTGATTGCAACTAATGGAAAGGAAGATGGTATTGCCGTGTTTAAGTTAATGTTATTACCAGTACTTGATTCCTTGCTTCTTCTTCTGACAGTCTGGAATAATTAGAAAAATTACAATTAAAATATAAGTGGAACTACGAAAGAAGATTATAAATTTAAGACATTGTGAATCTTCTCTCTATAATTTCTTGAGTAGCTGAGCAACTGTTGGCTTCTTGAGAAGTCAGGTTTGTGTATTCATACCTTTTCCATAGTAAATTATCTTTTGTCTGTTCTTCCTTGGTAGCTGTTAGGTTTGTGTTTTTGTACCTTTTCCTCAGAAAATAAATTGCAGTATTCTGCATAATAGTGGATATATGTTGAGACTGGAAGACTTCACGATTCATGTTTGGGAGGCTGTTGTTTTGTTTAGGGATGATGAATTACTGATAAGACATGGGTTTATACAGATTATAGGTCGTGTGCATGCTGATCCCGACTATCTGCCTCGATCGTCAGACTTTGGTCTGAATCAGCATGTATTTCGAGAGAAGTTTTGCTGCCAGTGTCCTGAGCCATTCTGCCGAGTGGCCTTTCTTTGTTGTGATCTGAATCCAGACAAGAGGTGAGATGATAGACTTACATTAATGCAGATGGATTGGGGAGCTTTACATATGTGGGGCAATCCAAAAGTTTCCAAAATTTGAATTTTGCGCGCGAATGGTTATTAGTACATCGAAATACCGCTAGGTGTCTCCTCACACATCCTTCTTAAATCAGTGTGGCAAGCGGCGTCGAGTTCAGTGGTTGGGTTTATTGTTGGTGAACATATTTCCATTGTTGTGTTTCCGTGAGTTTGCGGTTTTGCGATGGCTGACCTGAGAGAGCAGTGTGTCTGTATAAAGTTTTCTTTCAAATTTGGGAAAACCGCTGCAGAAATGCACCAAATGTTGAAGCAAGCTTTTGGTGTAGACAGTTTAGGCCAGACACAAACTTACAACTGGTATAAGCGTTTTAAAAATGGCCGAACATTGACTGATGATGACGATCATTCGGGACAGCCATCAACAGGCAAAACACCAGAAAATGTCACGAAAGTTAGGGATCTGATTCTGCAAGACCGTAGACTAACCATCCAAGACCTCTGTAACACCTTGGGACTAAGTTATGGTACATGTCAACGAATTTTGTCAGAGGAACTGAACATCAGGATTGCAGCGAAGTTTGTGTCACGACTGCTGCAAAATGAACAGAAGCAGCATCGCTTGGAAGTCTGCAGGGAACTTCAGCAACAGCTTCAAGAGGATCCAAACTTTCTTTCGAAGGTTGTCATTGGTGACATAGGTTGGGTTTATGGCTACGACCCTGAAAGCAAGCAGCAATCGTCACAATGGAAGAGCCCTTCTTCACTTCGGCCAAAAAAAGCTNAGGAATTTTTGGCTAAAAACAAGATGGCAGTTGTTCCCCACCCACCATACTTGCCAGACTTAGCTCCATGTGACTTCTTTTTGTTCCCCAAGATGAAAATCAAGTTGAAGGGGCGAAGATTTGATACAGTTGAGGAAATTCAAGCAGAAACGCATACAGTACTAAACACCCTAACAAAGAAAGACTTCCAGGATGCATTTGGAAAGTGGCAGAAACGCTGGGATAGGTGTATGCGCTCCCAAGGGGACTACTTTGAGGGTGATGGTGCAGAATAAGATCTAGGCAAGATGTAATAGTTGTTATTAATATATTTTGGGAACTTTTGGATTGCACCACGTATTTTGGATGGCACCATTTTCAGCAGCTGTTGTAGTGTCAAGTGAATGAAGTAGCTTTATTGAAAGCATTTATTGAGCATAAACAGGACCTTCGATTAGACTGATGCAGTGGCATGTGACCATCCTGTTGGAAATCAGCAGCCTACTAGCTGCCATCCTGCTCTATAAACAGATGGCAATAAGAATGCAAATAGAGGAATGTGTTATAACTGGCACAGAACTGTGTATTTAAGCCCCCTGTAGTAGTCATTTCTGTAATACGTTGTAGTACCAGTACAGTATAGTTAGGTATGACCTGAAACTCAGTACAATGCAAATTCATGTTGATTGGGGTGAAGAATTGTCATTTAACTTATGTCTGAGAAAGACTGTCATTGTAATATATCCTTTTACTTAGAAATCTGTTGCTCAGTTTGAATTTATTTTAGTTGTAGACTGTAGGCTGTAAATTCTAGACAAAACATAATACACTTTAACATTTTTTGGGGTCGTCTATTTGCAAGTGGCAACATTGTGATAGTAGTTAAAGCAAAACTGTTATTCAGTTACATGTAGATGACTGTTATATTGCTTCTGTTCTCTGTGCATGTGTCTGTACTCTACCCTTTATCCAGCACAAGTGAAGTTTATATGTTCATGCTGCAGGCCACCTTTCGAAGTAATGGAAGTGTGGCTGGAAGGCTTGGCCATGCATCTGTCTGTTGGAATGCCCTTACCTCAAGACTTAGAGTTTGACATTTACAACTACACAGGTATGTAACTTCACTTATAGTAGTTTAATGCATTTCTGACAGGTATTTACCAATCAAGAAGCAGTAATTTCTATAGACTTATTTTAGCAAGACAACAGATAAGTCCAAGAATAATGCCAAATAAATAGATATAAATTTAAATATTGTACAGACTCACCTATAAGACAAGATTTTTTCCTTTTTATTTTAATTGAAAAATTTGGAATTGCGTACAAATGAAGGACACTAACAGACCAGAAATTATTCAGTGATTTTTGGAAATGTTGATACCCAGATACTGTGCCAGACCTCAAAACTCTGCAGTATGGTACTGATATATTTTAAAAACAGTGTTCAGTTTCCATTACTCTGTCATTCGTTCTGAAATATTATTTTATTCAGTTCTGTATGTTTTGAGCTGTTAGATCATAGCTAATGACTCCTTTTATGGCACATTTTACAATTTCACAACCTCCATAGGATGCGATTTTGTATTTCCTACATCTTTACTTTTATGTAGCTGAAGGGAATGATGCTTGAGAAATAACACTGACTTCAAAAACATTTCCCAAATTGATACACTGTTGTACAGCAAGTGTCAAGGGATTTCACAGTTCCCTGATATTACTTTAGATTACAGTAGATTAAATTACAGGGGGAGGCTTTAAACAAACTTTGCACTATGGCTGTGAATGATCCCCATTCTAAGATTAGCTTTCTAGAAACCTTGCACTTTGGATATAGCACAGTACTTTGCTTGATGGGCTCTTTTGATAACCACTTGGCTACATGAAATGGAGTCCCAGGGACATATATATGAATTAGGTTAACCATCACACAACAAATATACTTGCTTTTAATGTTTTACAATTAGACTTTTTATTCCTGCTACATGTTTCGGTTGTACAAGACCATTATCAGGCAGTTAACATAGGAATACGTTTAGCTATTGAACTACCAATATGGATCCAGTCCAGCATGTGTCATATTATATAAGAACGAAGAGTTTTCCTCAAGTTGGTATTACAATTAAAATAGAAGATACAAAATAAGATAAAAGTTAAAATATAAAAATGAAATGTATACCGTGTGTCAAGCTATATTAGGTGATATAAGTGTTGAATATATTATGGAAATATTAAAAATATTTTTAAAGTATTTAAAACTATTGTCTATGGGAGGCCCCAGGGGTTGAAATCTTAAAATCAGCTAGAACCTTGCTGACACAAAGGATGTGTGAGGTTGTTTCATCTTTGTTATGGCACCTTCTGAAGGTGTACTGTTTACTAATCCTAGTTTGAACAGGTGTCCTTTTAAGTGTTAATGTCCCATAAGTAGTCCTGTCAAATGTTTCATCTGGTTTATATTTAGTTTTAATAGTTCCCTAGTTCTTCTGGGAGAGGATTCCAAATGGAAGCTCTTTGCATGTGTATGAGTGCATATGGATTTAAGGTATTCTTGGTCATCTCTGTTTGTTGTGAAGTTCGATTTTTTTACCTTTGTAGGTCGCAGCCCAAGTTCGTCTGAATCTACAACACCAGAAGCTTTAACACCATCAGCAAACCCACCTTCTCTCCAGCCAATTAAGGAGGGATGCTGTCAACAAAGTCACATAGTTTCCTCACCTCGACCTAAAGCTGGAGGCGGAACTACACCTGTGCGATCTTCTTCTCCTGTAGAGAGTACTGCACTCTGATTGGCATGAGGGATCATATTGGATGGTGTATCAGGTATTTCAGCATGGCAGTTACCCATCTAGTTAATAACAAAATACTGTTGCATTTGTATGATAAGTCAATTGTTTCCTTTTGTCACACAGTATTTGAAACCACAGATGAGATGCTGGTACAGTACCACGTTACTAGCAGTATGATCACCTACCTGTTCTTTTGTAGTTGTATTGGTAGAGTTTTTGTTACAAGAACTTTCATAAGAGTATATGTTACTGTATTGGCTTGACTATAAGCCACTCGTCTGTAGAAGCTGCACCTGAATTTTAAGAGGAAAATAATAAAAAAAATTAATAGATCTTACAAGATGCAGCAGGTAGTGCTCTTGATTATTCCTTGAGTTTCTTACTGCAGCAACACTTTGTTAAGATGATTTACTGGGACCAAATGTACCTATTGCATTTAGTGAAGGAAATGCCAGTTGGGGAAATTATTCTGTGCACTTTCACTGCAGTTACTTGAATTTACTTTTCAGATTTGCACATCAGATGTAAAAGAGAAATTTAACTTTCACATATTTCTCTGTATTCTCCACCAGACTATTTTTGTATGTTTGATTGGAGGCAGAAATGTCTTCTCTGTGAGTATACTGTACTTTATTTCCAGTATTTCTGAATTAAGGTAAGAGAGCTCTGAAGGTGGTCTGAGACAGCATTATAGTACTCTGCTCTCAAGGTCATTCTTGGACTTTGTTCATTATCAAAATTAAAATTGTAAAATGTAAATTATTACTTATGCCAATTCTTTCAGTAAGAATTCTTATTTTGTACTGTTTACTTCTATGAGGAGATATGTTCTTGTTGAACACATTTCCAGTATTTCTGAATTAAGGTAAGAGAGCTCTGAAGGTGGTCTGAGACAGCATTATAGTACTCTGCTCTCAAGGTCATTCTTGGACTTTGTTCATTATCAAAATTAAAATTGTAAAATGTAAATTATTACTTATGCCAATTCTTTCAGTAAGAATTCTTATTTTGTACTGTTTACTTCTATGAGGAGATATGTTCTTGTTGAAAATTCAGGATCTTCTGGTGGTTGCTGTGAAGACTGCTCTCTTCTGGGATGTGACACCATGTAATATGGTAGACATGTAGCATGCTACATCACATCTTAGAAGACTGTAATCTTCCAGTGTTCTTTCTTTCTTTTGTGGGGTATGTAATGATGCTGTCATGAACTAGACTATGTAGTGTCAGATCTTTTGGTATGTTCCTTCACAGACTGCGTTAAGGCTGAAAATAGAGACTTACTGAGTACTGTACTGTGGCTGACTGCAATAGTATTTCTGGTAATGCACTCTGTGGTTTGGAAATATGTTGGTCATACTGATTTTCCATGAATGAATGGACCATATGAAACATAAGAGGTTATGTGTAGTGTGTACTTGGCCTAGAATTTATGAAATTTGGAAGTAAATGATTTGCTTATATTTCACTGTTCCCTCTGATCATTCATTTTTCTCATGCCTTCCCTATTAACACATAATTAAACATTATTGTTCTAGTAGTACATTTACAGTTGCTACATCATCTCCTTAAACACCATGTTCATGTTATTGAAGAATTTTGGACCAGCCTCTATTCAGAATTGGGGGTTTTTATATCTTCTGGTCAAAGTGGCCATGGACATTAATATACGTGGAGCTTGCATTCTTGACTTGAATCCTGACTAGTATATGGATGTTATTTGCATTTTCCACTGCAACTAGTAATACTATTTAATATGGTAGGATGACTCCACATCCAAATAAAAGTAGTTCAGGTCAAGGTAACTGTTGGAGGTATTGCCCAGGTTTGTGCCATGATCAGATATATAGGAGCCATTGTCTGTGGGGGAAATATTGTGATCCTTCAAACTCTGCTAAGAACCATAAGCTGATTGTTGGTACATGAATCCGATGTAGGTCAACCAGTGAGTTATCAGTACAGTGTTCTAGATGTGTACTCCATTGTAGCTACTACTGCTCAGGTACTGTTTGAAATTTATAATATACTAATCATTGATCTGTTTGTTGTCATCTTTGCCTGCTGTGCACAGGAAATAACCTGTGAAGCATGCTAGGCTTCTTTATCAAAGTAGGTTTATGTTATTATATTATATTTAAGCATCCTGTTGCACTCGATACGATAAATGATATAAACTCCGTCTCAAGTGCAAACAATATATTTTGTGTCTTTGATCTTGCTTCCCCACACTACATGTTTTGGCCTCAGACGGCCATCATCAGGTGTATAACACTCACGTCGCTGTCACACTGCACCCAGCTCAAAATTTTAACATCTAAAACACTCTCCCTGTCATTATCAACTTCCACTCCGTTGATAGCTGTCTGGCTCGTAGATTATTTCACACACGTTAATTTTACTTTATTGTAATGGCACCATAATAAAATCTTTAGTTCTAATTTTAAAACCTTTAAATTCTTTCTCCAAATTTTAAAATTTTTTAAAATTATTAGGGTTATTCGCCCTATGTTTAAAGTGCTGCAGCGGCTAGTTCTTGTTTCCACACTGTATAGGTGTTATCNATTTTAAAAAATTTTAAAATTTGGAGATAGAATTTAAAGGTTTTAAAATTAGAACTAAAGATTTTATTATGGTGCCATTACAATAAAGTAAAATTAATGTGTGTGAAATAATCTACGAGCCAGACAGCTGTCAACGGAGTGGAAGTTGATAATGACAGGGAGAGTGTTTTAGATGTTAAATTTTGAGCTGGGTGCAGTGTGACAGCGACGTGAGTGTTATACACCTGATGATGGCCATCTGAGGCCGAAACATGTAGTGTGGGGAAGCAAGATCAAAGACACAAAATATTGTTTGCACTTGAGACGGAGTTTATATCATTTATGTTATTACTTACTGCTTTCTCATATTACAGCATTGACAATATCAGAAAATGGTTTGGTTTCATATTATGATGGGGAGTTGTTACCCATAATCCAGAAAAGTGTTTTTTTTTTAAATTTCATCAGGTTGTGCACTTCTCCCACATGGAAGATGAGAATGTAATTGCACTTTAGATTGAAACAAAGAATTCCAGTTTTCTTAAACATGGCTAGCAATATTGATTAAATGTAACACAGTTGTGGAAAATATGGTTCAAGATAATATTAGAATGGCCTAAATGAATCAGGTATTGTGGAAAGGTGTCTTAAGAGCTTTTCTTTCGCTGATATGACCAATTTTGTCCGTTATACCTTCTGCCATTTGTGTAATTATTCACATTACTTCTGTCTTTTGTTAGATTCTGATCAGCAGTGTTCACCCATGGCGTAGCCAGTAATCTGATTTGTTATTTGTACAGGACTGGGCTGAAAGGCAGTACAGCTTCAGACAGGATCATGTACACAACTGTGATTTAATTTTTCTATGCCCTGCTTCTTGTCCCTGTACCCTCTTGCTGCTTCATTCCAAGTAAGAAGATGTGACAAAGCAAGGTTTAGATTGTGGTATTTTTGCATGTGGCACCTTATTATCTGGTAGGTAGATACCAGCATTAATGCCTTGAAGACTAGGGCATCATGTTCCTCCACAGTGTTGGGGACCACCTACCAGACTACATGGTGTCATAAGTGGGATCACAGACTAAATTTTCACTGGCATGAGAGCTTCAGATTTCATAAAGCAAGGTTCTTCAGCTGTCAGCTGTTAAACAGAAATTAACACAGTACAGATTACAAGCACAGAAATTTTGGTATTGTACGAGTATTATATGTATACAAAATTATAAACTTAAAACCGTATTAGTAACATTTATTTATTACTTTATTTATTAATTATATGTTGCCATCATTGGTGCACCTTTAGTAATAAATAAGTAAAAGAATTTAAATACATCTATAAATCATTTGTGCTTGTTATTTAGATCATCGTACATGGTAAATGGTATGCAACCATTCATGTGTACGTGGAGAATCATTGCAGGAAGCCGATGAGATATTTCAGTTATTTGCCCAGGTAATGTAACCAGATATGGCACCATAATTCAATAAAAACTTCAACAGGATATGAAGAAATGATATTGTGACACTTGACCTGAAACACTTTGGGTTTCTTATTTGTATAATTTTTGTGACTATTACTTATATTTTGATGTAGGCGGAGTCTGAAAACTTTCCTCCAAGTGAATCTCAGCGTTTGCATATAGACTCTCTCTGATATATCTTAACACTTTCATGCCTGTAAACAACAGCAAAGAGATGCCATGTCCAAATTACTGTAGAAATTTTTACCATTTCAAACTCTGTTTTGAGAGTCAGCAGTTTTTCTTTCTGAAAATTCTTTGAGCAGGTAGTTTCTTTTTCTGTTGCTAGATGGTACTTGTATCTGCATTTTGCAGTTACTTTGATGTATGTAGATTATTTGCTATTTCTGTCTCTATTGTGAAGTACTACTACATGTTAATGTGTTGCATAAAATGGTGGGGTGGAAAGTGAGCTGGCTGCCAGTGGGCTGAGAGTTAAAGTGCTGATGAGGGTGGGGTGGGAGTTAGGTGAATGTTCTTGCCAAGAATGAGAAAGAAACAAAGTTCTGAATCTCATGTTACATTCTGACTTCCATGAGAGAAGTCTGGCAATGGCAAGCATTGGTTAAAATACCAAAGAAGTTTCCTATTCGAGCTTAACAAGGAATGTTCTGTCTTCTTGCGAAATGCAGGTTGGATATATGACAAACACACTAGCAAATTTCCATGAGGGTTCTCACATTTCTCATGCCATTCTTTCTCCACGTGATCCATAACTGATTATCCCCGGTGTTAGTATGGCCAAAGCACAGTTATATTGATTTACAGTTCAAATATCATGGTAGTCACATTACACAGTGAGTTGGGGGGTCTTGCTGAGAGGCCATCTTGGTACTGCAAGATTCATTTTATTTAAATGTCAAAGTACTGTTGAATGAATGGTCTAGCTCTGAGCAGTGTTCACTGTTGTGACAAAGTAGAGCAGACAAAAGATATTATATTTATTATTCTCATGACTATACTTAACAGGAGAATGATTTTTTATGTTATTCTGGAATCTCTTGATCACCAAAGCTCAGTGAAAGAATCATCATGGTGTGTCCATCATGGGTAGATAGCAGGCTCCCACATGGCCTATGAGATTCTCTCCTGTCTGCTGTCTCTATGGGTGATTTACTTTCACTGGAGTGATGATTCTTCCTTGTTTGTAAGGAAACTGTATCATATGATGCATTCCAAAATGATGATAAACTAAATATTTGCACTAACTGAATCAGGCTAACTGTAGCACATTGAACAGTCATTATTGTTGTATGGACAGTATTTATAAGATTGTTTTTATAATCATTATTTTGTACCTGTATATATTAATATAAAGTGATAGTGTTTTATGAATGGTGCCATTTCAATGTGTAAGGAGCAAAGCACTCCTGAATCACTTATTGTTATACAACATTGTTTTCCAGCAGTCACGCTACATAACACACATCAGTGCCCTAACAACTTGTTGTAAACAAATCTGTCATGTATGTTTTCATCTTCTCTGTAAATTAAATTGTCACTGTGCAGAGGACAATAAGACTGTGATCTGAAGTCATGTACATAGAGCTGTGGGCTCTTCTTGCACAGAACTATAAGGATTTACGCAGGGCTGTGCAGACTTTCAGCTGAAAATAGTGTGTTTAATCATAGGAACTGCTGCATGAAGGTGTAGACAGTTGTTGATACAGTTGCTCTTATTTTGCTTGTTATGTCCTCGTAACCCCTGAAGACTGAACTGTCCCTTCAAGCAGTACTGAATGTCAATCCTGCATCTGTACTTTGATGTGTGAAATCAGAATAATCAGACTTGAAGGATAACAGACAGACTTACAAATTCATAACTGTAATATTCAAAATGGTAATGAAATTACCATTTGCAGATCATATGTATCAGCTGTTGAAAATCATGTGAATTAAAGAAGCAGTATATTATACAGGAACTGATAATTATATCAGTAAATGAAGAAAGAGAATTAATTTATCAGGACAAGGATCTCTGGTCCTAATTGCATAAGATCTTCGTGGATACTGACAGTGATTTTCTTCATCGATATTTTTATACTTCTGTGAATTAGGTTTCTTCCATGGGATAGGATGAATTGCAGTAACACCCCACAGAACATTGTGGTGTGGTGGATGCCATTTCTGCTTCATATATGAGAAGCACCCAGGTTGAATTCCTGTCTGTAGTATATCAAGTACTGTTCAACAGTGGATCATAAAGGTTAATACACGTACATTATTGTTGTACTATATATGTGACCTTTGACATGCAGAATATTGCTGCACTGTGGAGATACTTGGAAATTTGCACAGCCCTGAATTATACAGTTGGATTGTAAGAAATAAATTATAGAGATGGTGCTTTCACAATAATAGTAATATAGATTTAACTGCTAGCAGGTTGTACCAATGTAAGTTGTAATCACACTGGTGTGAGAGGTGCTATTTACAGTGGTTCCCAAACATGTTTCAGAGATTTGTAAATACTATTCACACACTTATTTGTTGGCATATTGGCTGAAACATTCATGATTTATCATATTTGTTTAGTTGGTTCTTCAACCTGTCATAATCTTACTAATTGAAGATTTTAATTTGGGTATAAGTGAGTGTATCCTGTATGATTATGTTTGTTTTGTTTATGCTGGTAACACATACTGCTTGGCTATCAAAGGGCTCAGAGGATTTTAGAAATCAGAAATTTTGTGAAGGACTTCATGTGGATGGTATGTACATTTAAGCAAGCTCAAAGTTATGGACATCTTTGACAAGTGTATCACACAGTGAGGACTAATTGAGCCAGGGTATCCATGGTGGCATCCTAGTGCTTTTTTGATGCCATGGCACTTTGGGGGGAGGGACCCAAAACTGATTTATAACTTTTTTTCCTCTCTCTTCAATTGGATTGTTCTGATGTGTGGTTTAGTATAACATTTATTGAAACATGACAGTAAGATTGATATTTCAAACCATTCTGAAGTTGTAATAGGAATGTCAGTGGGTTAAAACTTGCCTTACAGATATTAAATTTGTGGAATTAATATTACTGGAATTAGGTGTACTTAATTTTTGATGCTGCTTTTAGCAGCCTTCAAGAAATTGTGTGGGAACTACTGTTTTT